TATCGTGTAAAGTTGGATTAGAAATAGCATAACTATATTATAGAATATATAATATATACTAATTTGTATAAAAATTCGCGGGACACTTTCACCTGAAATGGAAGGCAAGCTGTACGATTATGAAACAAACGACTTTTATTTGCATTTGCTGCAAAAAGTTCGCTTCCAATCAGCTCAACGTTGCGCCAACTTGAATCTTCGAAAGATGCAATTTCACTTGATCCATTTCCTCTCCAATCTGCTCATAGTTACCACAAACTGGTCACTATGACATGTCGACAAACTCAACTAATCTGCCAAAACGGTCGATTCTTCCTCCACCAGGTCTGCCAGGTGACATGAGAACATCTGACCAATGAGGTCTTGGAATGGGACAGCAAAATCTCGTCTCATGTGAACGGATCGCAGCGAGAAGGGTTGGGAAATTGTGGTTTTTTTGACGAGAAGCTGCAACATTTGCTTCATCTGCCGCGTTGTTGGAGGTTGTCAGGCGTCCGAAACCATCGCAACAGGCCTGGGCCACGTTCGACCAAGACGATTCACGAGATGGTACCACCAAACCAACCTACTCGCACGTCCAACTTGTTCTTCCCTATTGTCTCTCTCTCTCTATCTATCTATCTATCTATTTATCTATCTATCTCTCTCTCTCTGGCTGGCTGGCTGGCTGAAAGAGACAAATTCGGATCTCTTTCGAGGCTGCGTTTAGAGAAGAAGCGGTGGAGATTGTAAAGTGAACCGGCTTGTCAGCTTGTCTGAGACTATCGGAGGGTGAGAGAAATTGTGTCTTGTTGATGCCTTGTCTCTGCCTCTCTGGCTGCACTGTTTGCCATGCCGACAGCACACGTTTGCGGCTACTTTTGGTAGCTAAAACAGGCTTTCCACCGCTGCATGTCTGTCTCCGGTTGCGGCTTTGCGGGTCGACTTGCTGCTTCCCTCTCAAAACCGGTCCTTCTCGGCCTCAGCGATTGGCTGACAGTCGGAATGCCACTCGTCACTGATTGGTCAACACGACGAGACGGCAAATCGCCCATTTTGATTGGACGACACGTCGAGCAGAGACAGAGAGCCCATCGTCTTCTCTCTCGCTCGGTCGGCCCGCAAATGCGCCACGCAGTCGACCCGACAACCTGTCGTCAGGTTGGAGTCCCGCTGAGCCAAAGCGGTCGACGAGACCGAGCAAAGACCGGCCGACCGTGAGGGGTGGTTGTCAGGCGAAGGGGTCACGGAGACAGTTGGCGAGGCGCAAAACTGTACCAACTGGCGGCCAATTCAAGCCTGTTGAGTCGCACCTCGAGACGTCCAACGCAACAACAACCGTCAATCCAGCGTGGATACTAAATCTGTACACCAGTTGCCCCCTTCTCGTCTGATGGATGTAAATGCAATCGCGGCCTGCGCTCGAGTCCCACCAGCCTCGAGCGACTAGTCATCACTTTTGTGCCTCCAATTAGCCCCACCCCGACAGCAACGTGGCGGCGCCAGCAGATGAACTCCTGCTTCCCGTTGCCCAACACCCCTTTCCCCCCCCACCCTTTCGCGGACTCGAACTCGAGTCAGGCCGGTCAGGTGCATCTCGACGCGGGTCAGCCGACGCGAGCGACGCGCCGAGTCGAGTCGTCAGGCGCCGCGTTTCCGCGACACCCTCGAGAGGAGGCCGGTTCGA